TTATTTAAACCAACTGTTAACTGTATATTTCTGTACATTTAAGTATTATTATTCATATTGCCACATTCATTGACCTTGTTTATAGGTAATTTCATTGTTTAATGAAATTACCTATAAACCTCTATCAGTGCGCCCCAGGGTGTCTGTGGCTACAATGTAGCTTGCCATCACCAGTGTGTGAGTGTGTGTGTGAATGGGTGGATGACTGGATGTGTAAAGCTTTGTGGTCCTTAGGGACTAGTAAAGCGCTATACAAATACGGGCCATTTACCATTTATTTACCATTTTAATCACATTCAAATGTTCCTAATTTAATGTTTAAAAGCACTTGAAAAAGGCAAATTCCCATGTAAAATTTGGGCAACAAACTCTATTTTCATTACTGAAAATAACCGTATTTTTATGAGAAAGTTATTTTCTGTTATTTTATGGTATTATTTTGGCGCCCCAGCTGCCGGAATATTACAGTTTTTTTTACAGTGTACAGTATATACACACGTGCTGCCGGTAGAAATTGTGTTCATGAGTTTGTGCTAAAAATACAAAACTCAGAGCTGCTTATGTTTATGATAATCTGCAGACTTTATCACGAAGGACAGCCTAAATAACTCCTCCACAAATATGTAATGCTGTTTCAACACTGTCCAATCAGTGTGTGTGTACATATATATATGTGTGTGTGTGTGTGTTTGTGTGTGTGTGTGTGTGTGTGTGTGTACAAACCACTGATATGGGGGTAATAATCCAGAAACCTTTTTTATTTCGTTAGGTTTTGTGATTCGAGGGCAGTGAAAAGAAATTTCACCTTTATTTTTTATTTAAAACTTATTTTTAGCAAACTTTTTCCTTTGGTATGAAGCACTGTGCCAATCATTTTGTCATTTAGCCATGTTTCTGATGATCTTTATAAACAGGTTCAACATTTCAATAGAATTTTTGGAACCCCAAGCTTTCATGTTGTCTAAGTGCTAAGGACCATTCACATGTGGGTTTGCAGGTAAGCGGTCCATGTTGACAGGAAGAGAGGGATGCCATTTATTGCAGTAGTTTTGTAAGGATTGTCTATTACCTAGTTTTTAAATGTTTTTTTTAAATAGCATTTTTTCACTAAAAATCAGCACTTGATGGACTCCCAGAACGGCTTTCTGGCTTCTGGTGAATGTCAAGTATTTCCTGCCTTTTAGTTCTGTTTTTAGCCTCTACCACCCACGACAGGGAATGGTAGAGACCTGCTGTTAATAGAAAACTGCTACAACCAGTCCATGCTGAACAGATAATCAAGCTGAAATTCTAAAAAGATCTCCAAAGCAAAGTAGATTCAGAGTCAGTCATTAAGATGTGGCCTTTGTTCCCTGTAACAGAAACAAAAATCTCTTTAGTTGCAACATCAGCAGTTTATGAAGAGGAGGAACCAGATACCTCCAGTTGGCCAAGATGACGAAAGAGTGTTCCTGTGAATTTGTGTCACCTCACGTTAAACAAACAATTTATTGTGTTTGAATGTTGTCATCATCAACATGACTGAAAGGCAAACCTGTTTGTTTCCTATCTTGACTGACTTGCCTGTCCACTGACATTTGTTCTGTGGCATTTAATATTACGACAGCTTTACTAACCAAAGTCAGTAGCATAACCACGAAGCAAAACCTGTGGCTACAGTTTCTCTAAATTGGCGTGGAGCAGTTGATATCCTCATTCATTGCTTCTTTAAAGTCAAATGGCTGGCTGTAATACTTCTGCCGTGTCCTAGTATCTTTTACCAGATTGAAACTGTATAATAGCGGCATTTCTCTGCTATTCCTATTTTCCTCACCATCAACCACAGGCTCTCAGTGTTTTTGCACTCCGTAGCTGATTTCTTTGTTTTTGACTATTTCTTTTAAAAGGTTTTTCTTTCTCTATTTGTTTTTCTAAGTGCTTACAGGCAGAATAGTCAGTGTGATGGTATTGCAAACCCCTTTTTTGTGAAAGTAGGCATCAAATGACAGTTTAAGGTTTCATAAAGAGACCTGACTTTTTTTGGTGGGGATATACTGTTTTAGACTGCACACAGGGAATTACCAGTGCTCATTCAAAGGGCCACATAAAATCCAAAGCAGCTGAAATAAAACAACAAGTATAAATATGCCAGTCTTAGAGGCTAATAACAAGTTATTTTCTAGCCCTTTCCTTTTCTGCCTTTCTGTCCTTTCATCTATCTTAATCTCTGATTTGACATTTGTCTTATGTTGTTTTCTCCCCCTTTTTTTCCTCTCCATATTTGTCTCTCTGGATCACGAGCTCTCCATTTCTCCCACCATCATTCTCTTTTGTTCTCTCTATCGGTGGGAGATGGAGTTAAGTGCAGCTGTAGGCCAAATAGCCTAGTGATTGGCTCTCACTTACTCCTGCCTCCCCAGTGCATTTGAAATCACTGATTGCAGACAAGCTAGTCTAAATCAAAGCTCTGCTTTAAGGAAAATTCTTTCAAGGAAAAGGGAGTCTGCTAAACCCATTCCCAAGGCAGATCATCGCCTTCACTTACATGAAGAAACAATGTGTAAATTGACTGTATTTAACTGATATTGCTAACTGATATCAAATTATGTTGCTGCCCTCCAGATGCCCTGAACACAAGGAACCATCAGGTGATGTGCACCACCATGAAAGTCCTGCAGCACCTGGTGATGTCTGCAGACAAGGTGGGAGAAGCTCTGGTGCCCTACTTCAGGCAGATCCTCACCGTTTTTAACCTCTTCAAGAACAAGAGAAGTGAGTTTCAGGCACCAAGCTCTGGAGTGTTTCAAGGACAGATGATGTGGGAGGTGTTTGTCTTTTGGAGCAGATATTGTGTAAGCGTGTTCTAATATTGGCATGACTGCAGAGCAGCAGTCACGGGGGGAGGGGCGTGAACCAGGTGATTCGATAGCCCTGAGAAATGCCACGTAGAGGTTAAGTGTCTCTTTTTATTTGAGTCCAACTAAAAAGGGATTCTGTTTTCTTCATTTTCTTTGCTGTAGACTCAAAGCTTCTGCCCTCGAGTCCTTTTTACTTTTCCTCCTTCCACTTAAGCATCCACTTGACAGAGAAGCTCAATTTTGTCTTTTCTGCTGTCAGTCAGGCGGCATTGTGCAGCGCTGTTGAGGAGGAGACTTTGTCCTTGCTCTCTCTGAAAGGCTGCACCTGGGTGACACCAGGACCTGGGGAGATTGGCATCAGATAGGCAGGGCTCTTTGTGTGGCTGTGTCAAAGCACTTAGCATGGTGTGACATGATGTGGACCCATTGAAGGCTTAAAGGCACAACCAGCCCCAAACACCACAGCAGGGTATGGAGACTGACATTGTGAATCAATCATCTAAACACAAGCTTTAACGGGAGAAAACACAAGGCTTTAGTCTCTTAATCAATATCCAATTTGAATCTGTTGTCTCTTTAATTCGCTTACATTTATCTGTTTGTTGAGATAGTGAGAAAAGACAAAGGACGGAACAGGAAAGCCCGCCTTATTAGCGCACGGCCTTATGCAAATCTCCTCCGTAAATTAGCTGTCAAATCAATCCCCTAAACCGCTTTGAAGCGCGAGTTTCTCCGCCACACCAAAAGCTCCGGAGTCAGCTGGTGAACCTCACCATAAATATATCTGCCTGGTAGTTACCGTGGCGTCCTGTCCACCTGCCTCGACTGCTCCTCTGTCCTCCTCTGGCAGGCATCGATTAAATCCAAGCCAACCTCTCACCTGGCAAGCGTCTCTGCTATCCACCTCTTGAGACCAGCCTCTGCCAGAGAGAGGTCCATACAATTGCCAAAGCACAGGGCCCAATCTGCTAAACAAGGACAGATCTTCCTCTTCAGTAGTTTATAGGCATCCAGCAGAGTTTCTCTCCTGTAAAGTTTGACAAGAGTTGAGGCTGAAAATGTTACCAAAGTAAAGTATGTCGGTGCAAGCGAGCGTCTATATACTTTAAGTTCATAGATAGCTGGATAATTTCCTTGTGTTTTCCCCCCCGATCACCGTCTGAGGCCTTAGATGAGCTGTCACAATTCATGTTCTGTTCTACCCACTCCCCTCTAACAGAGAAAGATATAACTTCAAATACAGAGAATAGATGCTTCCCTTTTGGGGAGGGGGGAACAAACACTGTGTGAACTAGAACTAGAGTTTTTTCTGCCTAATCCACAAATATTTCAGGGTTGTTGTTCTCTCACGGTCTTTCTCTGTGTGCCTTTGTCTTTGTTTCTCTCTTCTGTTTCATGGCTTGTTTATATCAATATCAAAGCTTTCATTGAAGTCCATCTATTATCTAATATTACTTATATACACCTCCAGGTCCATCCCACACTCAGTCGGCTGTCTCAGCACCTCAGACCGAGCCTCTAGCAGACAGGCACGATCATTGTGTTAATACAGTAGAAGACACAGAAGGCCGGCTAGTTGTGTGTGGTAACTCCCACACTGTAACTCACAAAGCTTGCATGGCATCCCTCTTATCTCCTGCGCCACAACGGGACCACTGTCCGTTTCATGCCAAATGTGTGTGTCTGTGTCCACATTTGTGTACGTCTGTCATGAATAGATCTGTTGTATCCCATATGCAGCTGTTGCCTTCAGTGCTTTCTGTCTCTCCCTGCTCACTGTCGTCTGTCTGCCAGCCTTGGGCACACAATGCTTTACTACACATCTATGACATGCCCCACATATACTTGCGCATATACCATTGCACGCCGGTCCAGATGAGGCTACACAACCTGACTCTGTTTCTGTCTGCCCAGTTGTTCGAGCTCCGAATCAATAGGCTGACAGCCACTGCTGCAGGGTCAGGGCCACAGTTAGATATCACCGACATCTCATCGCGGGACAGATCCCTTAGGCTGTGTTCCCACGCTTCCGCTGTGTCGCTCCCACTCCAAGACAGGGTTGTGACCTGTTAAATTGGTCTGTATACAGCCCTTATCTGAGCCATTTTTCCAAGGTCAGAGACGGAACTTAACAGCCATCTCCAAAATGGACCCTCGGGTGCCCTTTCACTCAGACAGAGCGCTGGCCCTCTGACCAGAAGAACAGCGTTACAACCCACCAACCCACATGTTCAGCCTTTTTGGGATCCAGGCCTCTGTCATTGTTCAAAGAGAGAAAAATATGCCTGTTTAACTCTGGGCTGCTGGCTGCCATTCTTCCCACTGTCACAGTAATGCGTCATTTTGAAGTGCACAATAATGAGCAATCACATAGTATCACCATCCTTGATGTACCCTTTTGTCTCCTGAATCAACGCTTTCAGCTTTTGTTTGCTTTGTGTCTTTTGTTTATCAACTGTTCTTTGTGTATTTGTCTACGTGTGCATGTGTGTGTTGTAGAGACAATGTTGAGGACAGTGTAGGAATTTCTCCAATACGATTTGCATGGCTCTCTTGTTTTCTTGATGTGATGAATCTTATCCCTAATGAAATGCAACAATGTTCCTTAAGAAGGAGAGATGTGCTCCGTCATCCAGCAAATTCCTCTTCTGAGCTCAAAGAATGGAAACTCATCTGCCGTACTGTACATCATATCAGGAAGGGACTCTGCAGCGGAGTAAACAACATCGAAAATATATTGTGGGGTTGTGAATGAAGATGAAATGTATGCCAGTACTGATTTTATTTAGTAGATTAGATGTTGGCTAGATCAGTGAATACAGATTCTTTATTACTAAATTCCACTTTTTCACACTCGGACACTCGGTTATGTTACCTTATGATAAATAGGACCTGGTGAGCTGAGCAGATGTAAAGAAAACTATGAACACTAACTGAAGTTTAAATTAAAAAAAAATCCTGCATACATGGTGTCTTTTCGACACAAATCACTTCCAGTGGGACTCAAAAATGGTCACTTCAGTGGCTCGAAGCATAGCTGGGATGTTAAAACAATTCAACAGACTGGTTATATAAATAATCACCCCACAGTATACTCCCTAAACATTTCTGCTGTTAAGTTGTGCATTTATAATTTAATTAAAATTAACATCGGTTTTCAGTTTACAGTAGCAGCCATCTCAAAGCACTTCTGATGATCCCCTATTAGCGAGCACTGGGGAGCGGTGGGAAGGAAGAACTCTGTTTTGGCAGGAAGACAAAGCCAGGTGCAGGGAGGGGCAGCCCTCTGTTATAACCGGTTGGTTATTAAGGGAAAAGATACAACTTAAAATAAGGACAAACTAAGAAGGACAGGCGAGAGCGAAGGATTTCAAACTGTGAGTTTATTGGGGATGGCTTATTTTCACAGCCAGCCTCAAGTGGCTATTTAAGTTGCTTTTTTTGGACTTTCATATTGGCTTCATTTTTCAGCCCCAGATGTTGGTGCTTGGCTTCAGATGAAGTCTTCAAGTTCAGTTTTTTGTTCTTCTTTATCCATCCAGCTCCTTTAATAGAGACAAAAGTGGATTTAACAGGGTGCTCCACATCAGTGGCAAGCATCTTGGTTGTGTGTTTATCGAAATTGCTCAATCATATAGCTTTTATATGCAGCTGTCGTATTAAAGCTGTTGTGTTTGGTGTAGCGGAGACTAAGCATTTAGAAATCTGTATGACCAGGAGGAGGGCCTGGCGTGCTCTGCCACAGCGAATGAAACATGAGCTCGCAGATTCGTCTGGTTCCCAGGGTAGCATTGTTGTTGTTGCCCTGATAATTTTCTTCGCTTATCTGTAAGGTGTAGGTCCTTAAACACCTATTCATCACTGACAAGCACGCTCTCGCTGTCTCTCTCTCTCTCTCACACACACACACACACACAGAGAAACACAGTTATTCACACTTATTGCTCACACACCAGTGATCTGGTTCATTTAGCCTCTTTTATCTTTCTGCTAGGAATGTGGCCAGCTATGATAGGGTCTCGCCCACATGCATTGCTGAGCCTACACACACAGACACACACACACACACTCTACAAGTTGTGATAGTGGCTCTCTGTCTTCTGTGTCTGGACAACTGGTGAGGTTTTTGTGTTGGTGACAGATGCAGCACTGTGGCTGTATCTTATCTCATGACCGCGCTCTATCTGAGTATCACATGACGTGGTCACAGGCACACTCACAGGTCACGTTGGGCCTTTTTTATTTATACGGCGGCTCAGTTACAGCCGATGTTTGGAATTGAATGGAAATAAACACGGGTAGGTGGTTCACCAGACAACCGCCACCCCCACCCCCTCCATCACACCCTGATACAAGGACATGGAGAGTCATGAGGAAGGAGACCTATTCCACTGTGTTCAACTATGATACTAAGAGAAAAGGCCATCTTGAGCAGAAACACAAGAAACACAAGAAAAAATTTTTTCCTCGGCTCATTTTAATAAGACAGAAGGCCAAGCGTATGCCTGTGTACTCAACCACCTGTGCTCCTGTCCACAATACAACATAATACTCCCATTTACTGCCACACCACTGCACTGTGGCGTGTATGATGTTGAAGCTAATTCCTGGGGATTCCCATTCACAAACATTTGCTTTATTTAATGACCTTTTCCAGCTGCTGTTGTGAAAAATTAATTCACTGCCACGCTTTTGTTGTGTACATAGCAACGCTGTGGAGGAGCCACGCTCGCACAAACACACAAAAACACACACATAAGCCCATGCCCCCACTATAATCCATCATCTTCCACAGGCACGGAGAGCTCCTTTTCCCCCAGTGGACATCAGAACACACACCTCATCTTCAGCCCCGGGCTCCTCTTTCCACATAGCCCCCCTCCAACTGGAGATATCTATCAAACCATCACATCC